GCTACCTGCTGCCCTTTCTCTGATTGGCTCCAAACCTCCACAAGTATTTTATGGAGGTAAGGTCATCTTTCTGCTGTGATGAAACTCTTTCAGATTGTTTTCATCTTGTCAACGTTTTAGGAAGAAAAAAAAACAGGCAAAAGAAAGCTTCATCCTCAGCCTGAGTCTGCGAGTTTTATACGACACTCAGTCTGTGTTTAATGATTCAACAGCTTGACCTTCAGCCCAACTCTCACCGATTACCACCGGCTCTGAAATCTCTGCTTTTCTTAATGGACTTCTGAATGTGTCCGTCCTGATGATACAACAAATTATCAACACACGGGCCGTGATGTCAGGAAAAAAGCCGTGACATCACTATCTGTGTGTGTTGTTGTTCATAAACACAACACAAAACTCTCCCATATTGTTAATCAGGCCAGCTCAGTCATTGGTTCACCACAAACACGTCTCTGAGCTGTATCACCTGATCACAGAGGACCCCTCTCAGCCTCCATCACTCCTTCCAGCTACTTCCATCAGGCAGATGCTACAAAGTTCCACTGGGCCGCAAAAACATCGATAAAAAATCCTTTTTCCCACTGCAACAACCACCCTGAACAAAATGAAATCAGACACTGAACAGCACATTTTATCGGCTGCTGTTTCTTCTTAACAATTCTTTTAGACGTCTGTGAGCTCGTGTCTGAAGTTTGTTTGTATGTGTGTTGTATTTCTACTGTCGGAGCCTCGTCAAAGGAGAATTTCTGTCACCGTTTGGGACAGACAATAAAGTTTTTCTCTATAAGTTAATATGCAACACACACATATGAGCCAGTGTGTGTTTAACAGGATACACCCGGTGGACCAGGAAGTCACTGAGTAACACACACAACCTCTCCTTTTATGTCCCTCTTCCTGGAAGTGACCACACACACACACACACACACACACACACACACTCCCTGTCTTCCTCCCACACTCCTTTTAATGAAAACACTTATCTGCCTGTGTTTCTTTTGTCAAACACTAGCTGTTGCACTTGAACACACCGTCATGGCCGACCACTCTGTCACAGGAAGTGACTCGACCACCTGGGCTGTGTCTGAATCCCTCCCTATGTCCTACATAGTGATCACTATATAGGGTGCACGCCATTCTGTAGGGGTGTCCGAATGTTAAGTTACAAATGTTACACCCTAAATAGTCACTGAAAATATCCCACAATGCACCGTGAACAGTAGCGCACAGCCGATGGTCACTAACCAGCAATATGGACCGTCATGCATTGCGCGAAAGGAAATGGAAACGGACATGAACGAGAGGGCGGGAAAATTCCTGTTTGTTTTGTTAAATGTTATTTTACTCGGACAGTGAACGGCGCTAAACTGCGGCGCTGGGTTGTGATTTGGACAAACTACAGCACTTTATTTAAACTGCTTTTAGTTAGTGGATCCTGAAGAAACGCTCTCATCTGGTGTGTACAGCAAAATGACAATAAACTGGGTTTAATTTGATTTCTTAGCTACGCAATAAACTGTTAATTTGATGTGTTTGTACGACGCTGTTGCACAAATCGCGGCTAGCAAGCAACATCATTAACAGCTCGAGTAGCGTCCGAAATGATGCTTTGCCGAGGTGCTCCCTACATCGTGATCATTATATAATGATCACGATGTAGGGAGTGAGTGGGTGATTTCACACACAGCCCTGGTGTCTGAAAACATCCAGTAGTGATGTCACTGATAAGTCCCGCCCCTCTACACATGCCAATCAGTGGGCAGAGAATTTTATGGCTGAACTGTATTTTTAAACACAAAGAGGAAAAGCAGTCAGTGAGCTGCTACATGATGATGAAATGATGGCTGAGTGACTTCTACATTTCAAGAACTCTGGAACATTTGAGGAACCACATTAGAACTTTAAGAGAAATTTAATGAATTCTGTGACCTACAGGAGCAACTTCATCAGACTTCAAATGAGCCTACGCCTTGTGTTTCCTGTTTTTATCAGTCACACTTGTAAAGACCATGCACACCATCATGTCCTGAGTGTATTACAAAATAAATAAAGACATTTATGGAGTCATTGAAACGCATGAATCTTTGTCACAAAAAACAATCACGATTTTTTCCCCTCCCCATAGATTTATTAAAGATCTTCTGGAAATATGAAAAAACCTGCCGAGTCATAAATATACATACAGCAACTTGAATCACCAGTTGTATTGATGTAGAAAGTTGTGTTAATTACATTTTCTTAGTGTCTTAACTTCTCCTGAGTGGTTCTGGTCGACTCCAGCTGCTGACTCCTCTGATCCAGTTCAAACAGAACCATCTGATCCACTCATCAGACTCCGACTCTACAGTGGGAACGTCTGAGGAGCTCAGCAAAGATCTGGAGAAGAACATCAGTGACTGGAACCAGTCAGAAAGTGACTTGGAGCCGTTTCAGAGCAGCTTCAGATCCAGAACCATCAGTGTGTCAGCATGAAGTTCATGGTCCAGTTGTGTTACTGCCACCATCAGGAAGGAAACACAAACTAGCAGCTGCTGCTGAGAGACGACTGGTCAGGATGGTCAAGAGTCAACCAGGAAGCAGCAGGAAGCAGCTCTGGATGGACCAGAAGCTGCTGGAACACAGCTGTCAGTGTCCACAGGGTCTGACATCAACATGAGCTGAGAGGCTGATGGAGAAGGAAGTTCTTCTTCTACAAGCAACAATTTTGTTTTTGATGTGCATTAGCCCTCTTGGAAAAATCCTCAGCCATTTTAAAAATGTGTCCTATCATCTCTATGTTGATGATATTTAATCATACTTTTCTTTTAAGGAGTCACAGCCATTCTAGACTTGTGGTCAAAAACTGTTTTTATCACTTGAGAAACGTTGCTAAATTGAGGCCAATTTTATCAAACTCTGATCTTGAACTCGTGATTCATGCTTTTATTTCATCTGGTTTAGATTATTGCAATTCTCTTTTTACTTGTTTTAACAAATCTGTTCTAAATCGCCTCCAACTGGTTCAAAATGCTGCAGCAAGGCTGTTAACAAGCTCCAGCAGACGGACTCACATTGTGCCCGTTTTCTGCTCCCTGCGCTGGATCCCCATTGAATTTCAAATAGATTTTAAAATTCTAGTGACGACTTTTAGAGCCTTGCATGGCCAGGCCCCTGAACATGTCTGTGATCTGCGGTGCCCCCACTCCTCTGGTCGCACCCTTCGGTCCTCAGGCCAGAACCTCCTCGTGGTCCCAAAGACCCGCTTTAAAACCAGAGGTGACTTGTCCTTCCTCAGTCCCTCCATGAAACAGACTCTGCTGATTGGTTTAACATGCAGCTGAAGACACATTTGTTCAGACAAGCTTTTAGTTGACAGGATTTCTGTTGGCTTGCTTTTTATCTACATTATGTTCCCTGTACCGTTTATACTATGTTGTCTTGTGTGAAGCACTTTGTGATTTCATTCTGTCAAAGGTGCTCTACAAATAAAGTTCTTCTTCTTTTTCTTCTTCCTCTAGAAGCAGAACCTTAAACTGAAGTCTGCTGCTGGTCACATGGACAAAGAAAAGGCCTTCTGGAGGAAAGTTCTGGTCAGATGGAACCAACACTGAGCAGAACCATGTCTGGAGGAGAGAAGGTGAGGCCTTTAACCCCAAGAACACCAGACCTACCATCAGGCATGGAGGTGGAAGGATCAGTTAGGTTTTTGAAATTTGTCTCGATAGTGTTAGGATTAAGGTTTAGGGTTTATTGTTAGGTTCAGTGCAGACGGGGAAAACTTAACCAAATATTGGCATTTCTGTATGTATATTTTTAAACAGTAGATTTTGTCATATTTTCAGAAGACCATTAATAAATCAGTGAAAAAACCAAAACACGATTGCGTTTGTGACAAAGATTCATGTGTTTCAATGATTCCATCCCAGAAAATTCAGAGCTATAGGACTCATTGGAAACTCAGACTGCCATGACATACATGGTCTGTAGAAGTGTCTGGAGACTTTGGTTAACGACTATATACAGTACATATATATGTATATCTATTTATACAGTGGTGACTCGATGATCCGACACTAAATGTAAAACCTTCTTTTATGTCGGATATCAAGGCTGTCGGATTGTCCAGACGGAGGTCCAGATACGAGGAGGGCTTGATGCTGGAAGGCTCATTAGTTGTTCATTATTGTTCATTAGTTGTTAGAATAACTAGTCGGGCTTTCTGGTCTCTGGATATTCAATTAATAATGAATATCAGAATATCCGGTGCGGTCGGGGGACACTTCCACCCCGGGGCAGCGCTCTGTCGGGGTGGAAGTGTCCAGAACACACAGGCAGTACTTGGCTGCTGATGCTAGTTTAGTTAGCGCTCACACTTCTGTTTCCTCCATCGGTGGCGGCGGGGGAGTGGCAGATACGCTCCACCGTTACCATCCATGTTTACTTCCATAAACACTGAGCACGCTCGCTGCGTGTGACGTCGTCGTGTCCTCTTCTGCGCATGCGGGACACTTTTGGCTCGTATGAAGTTCACACAGCAGATCACATACAAGTCGCATTGAACTGGAAACGTGAAGGAAGTCACAAAGAAATCCTCATTGAGCATCAAGTCCTGCAGTGTGAACGTAGCCAATCTGTGGGATTGTTCAGTCAGATAATACGCCGTCATCCTGATTGGTGACATTAAATGTCATGTCGGAGTCACAATCCAAGGCTGTCGCTATGTTAAGGCTGTTTTTATGGGTTCTGTTGGTTTTTCCTAAAAACCTGTCAGATAGCAGGTTTAGGATGTTCAGGGTCGGATTATCGAGTCACGACTGTACATATGTGTGTATTTCTGTATAAATGTTGTTTTTTAAAAACATATGAAAATAACTTCTTTAATCATATTATCCCAGAAAGAAAAAAAAAAGTTGATTTTGATTGTATTTGGATTTATTTGGTCACTCTGTCCGAATCTGTTTAGTGTCCAGTCAACTAGTTTCTGATCACCAATTTGTAGAACCAGTAAAAGCTGGTTTTACACACTGTGGCTCTACAGCTGGATAAAGTCCGTCTGCACGGTGTCCTGCCCTCTGATTGGCTCCTTGTTACTGCAGATGTCCAGGTGGACCTTCATGTGGACGTCTCGGGAGCGTTTCTCCTGGTAGCTCTTCCCGCAGATGCGACAGCCGTACGGTTTCTCACCACTGTGCGTCAGCAGGTGTTTCTTCAGGTCGTTCTTAGTGACAAAGGCCTTCCAGCACAGCGGGCAGCTGAAAGGGCGCTCCTTGCGGTGGAAGCGTAAGTGTGTCTCCAGGTAACCTTTGGTACTGAAGCTCTTGCCACAGACACTGCAGCCAAACGGCTTCTCACCGGTATGTGTCAGCATGTGAGCATTCAGCCCTCCTACCTGCCTGAAGGCTTTTCCACAGACGCGACACTGGAAGGGCTTTTCGCCAGTGTGAATCCTCTTGTGTACCTCAAGGACGTGGACCGAGGCTAGGCTCTTGCCACAGGTGTCACAGGACACACGGTTTGCAGGTTTGTCTCCGGTGTGGTTCCTGATGTGCGTCATCAGAGCGCCATTATCAATGAATGTCTTCCCACAGAACTCGCAGATGTACGGTCGCTCACCACTGTGGATCCTCTTGTGGCGCCGCAGCGCACCAGGCCGCGGGAAGCTCTTCCCACAGATGACACATCGGTACGGTTTGACGCCAGTGTGGCTGCGCATGTGGGTTTCAATGTTCTGGTAGGTTTTGCCGCAGATGTGGCAGATCTTCCCAGCATCTCGGTGGGTCTGCAGATGGTCCGTCAGCATTTGTGACGGCTGCAGGTTTTCACCGCAGATACCACAGACAGACTCGGCTGAGTGGCTCTTTGCGTGTTTCCTCAGACCACCGTTACTCTGAAATGCTTCGCCGCAGACTTTACAACAGGACAGTGCCAGAGCCGGTATCCTGCTGTCCTCTGCCTCGGACACCAGGCTCTGAGCATCTGCTGCAGGCATGAGGTTGTCACCGTCCTGGACCTCCCACGAGTGACTGCGACTGTGCATTTTCAGGGCGCTGCTCTCGATGAAGGTCTTGCCACAGTACTGGCAGACATGTGGCCGCTCACCACTATGAATCTTCTTGTGGCGCCTGAGTGCTCCAGGTCGGGGGAAGCGTTTGGCACAGATGCCACAGCAGTATGGTTTGACACCAGTGTGACTGCGCATGTGCGTCTCCATGTTCTGAAACTTCTTCCCGCAGATGCTACAGGTGCCGCCAGTCTCTCTGTGAGACTGCAGGTGAGTCAGCAGATCGTCAGGTGAGTCGAACTGCTTGCTGCAGACGCCGCAGACGCTGGCGGCATCCCTGCAGTGCGTCTCAGCATGTTTCCTCAGGAAGCCGCGGCTGTGGAAGGAATCACCGCAGACTCTGCAGCAGAGCGTGGCCGCCGGCTGGCCGGACACATGTCCTCCATCTCTACGTGGCTGCAGTGTCTCCAACTGGCCGTCCTCGCTGCTGTCATCCTCCTCCGTCTGTCCTCCATCTGTCCTCAGGTGCAGTGGCTCCGCCCTGCTGTGGATCTTCTTGTGGCGCCGCAGAGCTCCCGGTCGAGGGAAACGTTTGCCACAGACGTCGCAGCTGAACGGTTTGATGCCAGTGTGACTGCGCATGTGCGTCTCCATGTTCTGAAACTTCTTTCCGCAGACGTTGCAGGTGCCGCCGCTGGTTTCTCTGTGAGACCTGAGGTGGTCCGATAAATCGTCCAAGGACTCTACATGTTGTCCACAGACTCCACAAAGATGCTGTGGGTCGTCTGAGTGCGTCTCCACGTGTTTCAGCAGATTCCCTCTGAGGCGGAACGTCTTCCCGCAGATGAAGCAATGCTGGCTCTCTGGCCGGTCCAATGGTGTCGCCTGTTGTTGGCTAAAGCGCCGTCCTCCACCCGTCCTGTCTGTCATTTTACTGTCGGACATGTCACCAGCCCTCCAGTCAGCGTCGCTCTCGGCAGAAGAGACTTCAGAGGAGGTGGAGCTTAGCGGGGCCATGGACAGGTGGGTGGAGTCTGTTGGCAGGTCACCAACAGCAGCGGTTGTCCTGAGAGGAGACGAGTCTGAAAGGAGAGAAGGTCTTCAGTTTAGGAGCTTTAAGGAAACAGACACAAATTTACTGCTGCAGGTTTTCATGTCATAACAGGCTTATTTCCTCCCATTAAAGGGTTTGTGGTTCCTTCCCACCACCACTGACCGCCTGCTCATCGGGAGTCCAGACACAACTGTGGATTGTTGGGTTCTCTGTTTGACATCTTAACTATGTGACGGGCTATGATGGGGCATATGTTGTGAATTGGCGCTATACAAATAAAATTGAATTGAATTCAGATAAAAATAAACAAATCTGATTAAAGACTGTGAATATTCCAGAGTTCCAGGTCTTCAATTCAATTCAATTCAATTTGTATAGCGCAGTTTACAACATGTACCATCTCACAGCGCTTAACATAGTCAGGTACAGATCTTAGACTTTAAACAGAGAACCCAACAATCCAAAGCATCCTTTGGACTTCCTCTGAGCAAGCGGTTGGCAACGGTGGGACAGGTTTTTGAAAATCTGTCTCAATAACTTCCACTGCCGTGTCCTACGACAAAGCAGTTTGGGGTAGGAAGTAAAGTGTTTTTTAGTTAGGGTTAGGTTTTGGAATTTGTGAAGGGAAGACTGGTAAGGCAAGAGGCCATTGTTCCCCTGGTTGCATTCCCTGGTCTGGACTGGAGTACAAAAGTACAAGAGAGGACGTCCTGGCGAGAGGCCGTCGCCGCCTTGGTAACACTCTCTGGTCCGAGGGTTCAGGGTTTGGGTGTAAAGTTAGGTTTTTTTTGGAAATCTGTCTCAAAAACTGGGCTTCCGCCTTCAAAGTTTGTCTGGTTTTGGTCTTTGTTTTCCACAGTAGTTTGATTAATCAATTGTTATCACGTTGTCCTGGCTGGTGTCATATTGTTCTGTCCGAACGGGTTTTAGTTTCTGTTTTTTCACTTTGTTTTGGTTTGTGTTCTTGGATAAAGTCATGGTTCCTTTTCTGGGTATACATTAGGGGACAAGGTGGGGAGGGAGGTTTAGGAGAGTAGGTGAAGGTGGGGGAGGTAAAGGGGTTGGATCAGGTTGATGTTTGCTCCTCTGAAGATGGTTTTAATTTTTGAGTTAGAGTGTAAAAGGTAGGTGTTGGAGGTCATTTATGTGTGGTTTTGAGGTGATTGAAAGAAGGTCAAATTGGTCTGTCAGAGTATTTTTTTGAAATGTTTTTAGAGTTAGGGTTGGATATTTCTTTTGGATAGTTTTTAAGGTTTTGTAGCGGTTACAGGTTTGTTTGTTTTTTAATTATTTGGTAGAAATTGATTATGTAATTTTCTTTAAAATTGTTTTAAAATAATTTTAGGACACATCATCAGTAGTGGACCCCAGGTTCATCGAGTGTTTCGGCTACTTATCACTAGACACTCTCACGCCTCAGGATGTGTCCCATAGCCAATTGGTTTCATTGTTTGGTGGTTAGAGACATATTGTTTTTGGTACTATAGCTGTTCGTTAGTTCCATTTGAGGTAAGCTGGATTTTTCCATTGGAGGATAAAGTCTTTAGTTTGGTGGGGGTTTAAGTCCCTGTGAGGGTTAGATTATCACTTAAAATCACTTGACTAACGATTTTTGTTCCGTTGTTGTCTGGATCTTTAAATAAGGGTTAGGTTTTTGAAATCTGTCTCAATAGGGTTAGGGTTTAAGGTTTAGAGTTAGGGTTTAGGGTTTAGAGTTAGGGTTTAGGGTT